GGTCGTCCCTACCCAGACATACTGGGAAATGGACAGCCTATCCTCAAGAGCTAGAAGTATTCCATCTTGTCCAGTTAGAGACAGAAAGCAGAGTGTAATAAACTACCTCATAACAATTGGGCAGTCTAACTAGTTGTGTAATGTTGGGCAAGCTGCTTGATATTTCTGAGTCCTAGCTTCATTTTCTAAAATTTCTAAAATCTTTAGTGTTGCCTTCTGCCAAAAAATCATTCATTATCGGTCAGTGCTTTGCATAGTTATATTTGTCCTACCAATGACCTTATTTATTCCACAAACCACTAAGTTCTCAACCATGTCCCCTACATGGCATAAAATTATGTTACCGCTAGTACTCACTGCTCTCACTTCAACAGCCATAATCTTATTTAGATACTAAGAATGGACAGTGGTGCTTATGATTCTAAAGGAAAAGGAAAACAAAAAGGGCTAACAGTCACTTCAAGCTCAAGGTAAGTGGGTACTACCAACTGATAATTTAGGATGTAAAACACCAAACAGTCTAGAGAGACTGTCACTTGGCCATCTGCAGTTATTTATGATCGTTTTCATTAATAGAGGAGACCGAGAATACAGACAACCAAGAGCAGTAATCTTCAAGTGACTTACATATGTCTTGGAAAGTGCATTAGTACTTAAATTTGAATAACACTAATTCTGCTGTCTTGAAAATTGAAGCTAAATGATAAAGTATATTGGGAAGAACTGAGTTAAAGAGAGCTAGGATGTTTCATTATGTCCTCTTCTTGTCCCCCTACTCAGAATTTTTCCCTTCAATAGTGATGGACAACTATCATTAACTTTCACATTTATGGAAAGTACCACCCTAAAATGAATTGCTTTAGATTTATATTTTGTCATATTACTTTCTCCACATAAACTCTAGCTTTGGGAAAGTCATAAAAGAATATTTGGGGCTGCAAGCAATTTCAAGCAACAAAAATAAACAAGGATAGTAAGTATTCTCAATACTGACTTATCTACTTGGTTTAATAAATATGAAAAGCAAGAGTTTTTTATGATTCAACTAGCCATAGATAACCAAGGGTTGGTTATTAAATAAATGATGAGTAAAGTGAGAAGCGAAGTGGTAATTATTATTTTAAGCCAAACCTGCAGGAAGATGTTCTCCACAGTTAAGTATGTCAATTAGGAAGACAAATCTCACACTGTGACCATAAACATTAGGCAAATTAACCTTATGCTCCTATGTCTTTGAGACTCCAGTTGACCCTCCTGGATATTTAATAACCTTCAGAGTTGGAGTGAAAAGTTCCAGGTCAGTCAATGTCAGAGGAGACAGGTGGATAAATAATTGTTCCTATCTAAATGTTACTATGTCATTTAAAATAATTAACAATTTAAAAAGTAATCTTTTTCTTTTTTCCCTAGAGTTAAAGATTCCATGGGGTTAGAGGAATAAATTCACTTACTGAGATGGATCTGAATCACTTCCTTTTCGTTTTCTTGGAAACTCTGTCACATGTGGGCTGAAGGATCCAATAGCTATTGGTTTTGTCCATGGGCTCATTTGATTGGAAACCATGGGAGCAATATACTGGCTGTCATCTAGCAACGCCTCAGCTGTGAGAGATAAAGCACAATAAATCTATTTTAAACATTAAGTTTTACTTTATACATATCCATATCACACATTTTAAATGGTTTTCCTATCTTGAAACTTTAAAAATGTCAACTAAATAACAACATAAATTATGTACACTCAAATTAGAAATGTATTTGTTAGTCCATATTTTTTAAGTTTATTTTTCCCATCTAATTGTAAAAAAATGAATACTGTAGAAAATACAGAAAACACAAAAAAGTTGAAAGAGGGAAAGACCAGATTTCACCAACCAACGTTACTGTTGAAAAATATTTCCTTTTAGAACTTTTTCTATAGTTGTTATTATTTGAAACCATAGTGTATATTCTGCTTTGTCTACTTTCACTGTGATAATAACTTTACAGTGTTATTACAAATTCTTTATAAATTATTCTAATGGCTGCATAATGTAGCATCATGTAGATGTGTTATAGCTACTTAACCACTCTTCTATTGTTAGATGTGTTTGTTTTTATTTTTCACCATCACAATATGTATTGTGGTACATAAAGCTTTTTATCTACTGGTTATTTCTTTGGATAGCACTCCAGAAATGACTTAACAAGGTCAAGGAACATGAATATTTTATACCCTGAATTGATAAATATGATAGTAAAATTCTTTTTGTCTAAAGTGTGGTTTATTACATGTCATAAAATAAAATCAGAATCAATAAATTAAAAATTATATATAGTCCAAATGTGAGCTACTGCCTCATTAATTTACATACAACAAATCTAAACTCATTTGTATCTTAGAGCATAGATTGAAAACATATAAGCAATAAGAGAATGCAATAAATCTATAATAATGGGAAATTTGTAACCTATCTTTATCAATAACTGACAGATCGAGCATTCAGAAATGATATAGATTTGATCCACACAATGAACAAGCTTGATATAATAAACATATACAGATCAATATACCTAGCAACTTCAAAATTTAGTATTGTTTTGAGGTACCCATGAACATTTATAAAAATTGACAATATACTCAACCAAAAAGCAAGTAAATCTCAACAATTTCAAAAGATTGGTAGCATACATAAAACATTTTCTGATTACAGTGAAATTATTTTAGACACTTGTAATAAAAAGATAACCAGAAAAAAAACCTGGAAATTAAGAAATACACAAATAACTCATGGATGAGGAAGAATTCAAATGTAAAATTATAAAATATTTGGAACTAAATAAAAATATTATACACAAAAATGTGTGGAGACACTGAGAGCATTACTTAGAGGGAAATTTTAACCCTATATGTTTAAAAAAAGACTGAAATTTAATGAGCTAATAATTTAAGAAATTAGAAACAGACAAGTAAGGTAAATCAAAAGAATTAGATGACAGGAAATCATAAATACTAGAAATAAATGGAATGCAAATAAGTGCAGACCAAAAAAGCTAAATATATGTTCTTCCAAAAATTGGAAAGCCTAATAACCCTTTGGCAAGATTTTTTCAAGAAAAAAAGAGGATATAAATGAATAAAGATAAGAATGGATGTAGGGTAATAATTTCAGATGTACTAGAGATCAAAAAGATAATAAAATTTCTTAAATAACATTATTCTAAATATTTGGAAACAGTTAAAATATTTTAGAAATTTTTCAATTAACAAAAACTAAAGCAAAAAGAAAATCCTGAATATTCCTATATTCTTTCTTATACAAACTATCCCCATATGTAGAAAAAGTAAAGAATATCTTAGCTCCCAACTCTTTTTTTTATGAGGCTTATATAATTTTGATATTCAAACCTGGCAATGGCAGTACAATAATGGTAAACTATAAATCCACCTCATTCATGAACAAAGATATAGAAGTCTTAACAAAATATTAGCAAACAAAATTCACAAATATATAAAAAGAATAACCCATCATGACAAAGATAGTTTTATGCCAGGAATGCAAGTGTAGTTTAATATTAATAAATCAATGTAATTTACCACAACATCAGATTAATGGAAAAATATGATTATGTCAATGATAATGCTAATATCTCAAATATTAATCAAGAAATATTGAAAACACTCTCTTTGCAATCAGAAACAAGAATACCTTTTATCACCACCCCTTTTTTAACACTATATTAGAAGACCTGTAAGTAGAGTAAGGCAAGAAAAAGAAATATGAGATATAAAATTTGGCAAGGAAGAAAATCATTTTTTTGCTATTATTGGGAAATACAATTGAATACACAGAACCCCCCCCCAAATCAACAGATACATTATCAAAATTAGTGACTGCATGTGAAATCAATATATAAAAAAATCAACCACCTATCTATTCACTGGTAACAAACAGAAAATGACATTTAAATTGATACAATTTATAATAACCCCCAAAAATAGAGTACCTAAAGAATAAATCTAATAAAAATGTATAAGATCTATAAGATCTCTATGTAAGATCTCTATGGAGAAAGTTATAAAAGTTTAAAACATTTAAAAAGATCCAAATAAATGGAAAGATATGCTATGCTTATGGACTGGAGGCCTCAATATCACAAAGATGTCAATTCTCCTAAAACAGACGTGTAATTCCTCTCAAAATAAGTACTCTTTTTTTGTCTTTTTTTCTTTTTTTTTTTTGGTAGAACTTCGCAAGCTGAATATAAAATGCATATGCAAGTACAATGGGTCATGAATAGCCAAGGAAAATGTGGGAGGACTTGCCTTTTTAGATATCAAGACATTCTAAAGCTATAATAATTAAGATATTATGGTATTAGTGGATACTCAGTGGGGGAATAGATGAAAGGAAAAGAAATATAGAGCCCATACATGCACATATGGATGTCTGCTGAATGTGAGGTAAAATTTCAGATTAGTGTGTAGAAACCAGCTTTTTAATAAACTGTCCTGGGACAATTGGTTTTCTCTACGGGAAAGAATAAAACCAGACTCCCCACTTTATACCATATATGAAAACCAATTCCAGTTGGATTGAAGACCTAAATATAAAAGGCAAAAATATTTGGTGTAGAAAGAATTTCCCAAATCCTAAAAAGTGAAAGCAATAAGCAATAAAGAATAAGATTGATCAATTCGACCTCCTTAAAATTAAGTTGATGTTGATCAAAAGACACCATAAAGAATGAAACCACAAACTGGGAGAAGGTATTTGTTACACATACAAACAACAAAGGGCTACGTCTAGACTGTATAAAGAATGCCTTTGCAGCAATAAGAAAAAGACCAACAACCCAACAGAAAACTGGATAAAAGACTTTAATGGGCACTTCAAAAAAGAAATTCCAACTCTCAACACAAAGGAAAAGATACCCAATCTCATTACTAAATCAAGAAAATCCAAAGTAAACTACAGTGATACATACCCATCTGGTGGCTGCAATTTAAAAGTGTAAGTGAGGATGTGGAGAAATGAGGATGCGCATGCTCTGCTGGTGAGAATGTAAATTGCTACAACTACTTGTAAAGCTGTTTTGCATTACCTAAGTCAAACACACACAAATAACATGTTTCAGCATTCCATTCCTAGGTACATGGAAAAACTAGATATATCTTTAGAGACATGTATAAGAAATGCATTAACAGTATTATAATTAAACAACAAAAATTAAAACCTGAGAAAACTAGAAATTATTTAATTTTCATCAACAGATGTTTATTCACAGAATAGAATACTAACAACAGTAAAAATGAGTGAAGTAGCAATATACTTATCAACATGGATGAACCTCAAAATAATGCTGGGCAAAAAAAGTCGCAGCCAAAAACATATAGCATGTTTTTTAAAAATTTGAAGTTCAAAAATACATAAAACTAATCAGTATGTTTTTTAGTAATATCTACAAAGTTTGCCACAATACACAGAAAAGCATGGTAACCTTACACTAAATACAGAATTCTGTGAGGGACATGGAATTTTAAGGAATTCATGTTCTATTTCTCAGCGTGGCTGTGAGTTCACAGATAACTGTTTTGTTTTTGTTTTTAAAACTACACACATAACTTTTATAATTCTCTGTAGGTATTAGAGGTCTCACAATAAAGAAGTGGGAAGAATAATTTTAACAATGATTGTTGGCCACTTAGGAAGTAAGTTTCTTTTTATGGTATCCTAAGACTTCTAGGCCTAGACTCTCTAAATGGGACCGATTTGCAATCACCAAATACCACGTAAGGTTAATTATGGTTTCAGCTCCTAGACACCATTCTAATAGATTCTGAATGGCAGAACACCATCTGTTTCCACAAAAGAAAAAAAAGGAGAATTTCTTATTGATAGCAAATCAACAGGAAAAAATTCACTAAACACACCCTGGTAATACTAAACCCCTCCCACCTCTCTCTTACCTCTCCAACACACACTCAAGCAAGGGCGTTCTTTCCTCCACAGAAGTTCTAAACAAATAAAGATTTTTTGACTTTTACTTTAGGGAGCATTATCTTCACGTTTCAATCCTACTTCCCTATTAATCTTTAAAATAAGAAATAGACTATATTTAGGAAGGCAGAATAATATTCTTTTCACAAAATCAAAATCTGAAGCTCCAGAAGTCTTTGTGTTCCCTAATGAGTGGAGGAGAACTGTCCCATAACTAGCTCTGTTCCATCAAATCTGGCTATGTCAGTAGAATTATATTCAAAACAAAGGGCTTTCTATAAACAAAGAGAAAATATAGTTTAGTGGAACTAGTTAGTTCTGGATGAAAGGATATGTTCTTTGGAAATAACCCAGTGTTCAGGTAGTGAATTTTTATACATTAGAAGGTGACTCATAATTTAGTATAAAGATTTCATTTTTTCCATTGAAGTAAAATTGGTATATAACATTTTATTGGTTTTGGATGTGTAAAGATTTCATTTTTTTACCCTTCCAGTTTACTTTACTTTCAGCCTCTACATATACTTATTTAGAAGATGAGACCATATGTGAAAAATTGAAATTTAGCTCTGCTTTTATGTAACTCATTTTGGAGGTGAAAAGTTCATATTTTCATATTGT